GCGGTGGCTGGGAGGGAGGCTCCTGGCCACCCGCCAAGGGTTTGTTCTGCTCAGGGTTGGTCAGGACCTGCGCTGCGCCGGGTCTAGGCACATCCCCAAAGTTCCCGATGCGGAGGGCGGGGAGCGCCCGCAGGGAGCGCAGAGCAGTGAGGAAGCGCTGCACCCACGCTGGGCTGCTGGGGCAGATATTTTAAACCCGGGGCAACATCTTCCCAGCTGGGAACCACGGAGAGGCGTCCCGAAGAGAGCGAATGTTTGCTCGGTGCATCATCCCAGCAGGGGTGGGGAGTGGAGACTTCCCACATGCCTGCAAGATAGATGCCCAGTAAGGGCGCCAGAGCTTTAGAAAGAATTCTGCCTTTCTAAGCCATTGCCCTTTCTAAGCCATTTCTTCTCATCGTCCATGTTCCATCGTGGTCTAAGACACTACCATCTCCTTGTTTCACAGAGGAAGGGATAAAAAAAAATGGCTCGGAACCTTTAGGTGCCGTTCACATCTAAACACAAGGCAGGAATCTGTGCGGTGCCTGTGTGGTGTGCTTTAGTGTCACTGGTCTACATCTACTAGTAGTTGCTGTGGATGGAAACTTGGATAAACGCATGCAGAATAATTGAATGTTTCCCAATCGCTTCTGGAATGGCTTCCAAATAATGTGAAATAAGAAATGAAATATTAACCTTTTCTATAAATTTACTACAAATCTTTTCTAAAGGGAATTTATGCCAACAGGCTATGCCATAGGTATAAAATATTTGAAATTGTTAGTAATTAAAATATGTTATCTGTTCCTGAATTTGGGGCTTCTCTCTTGACCTTATTATATAGTAGCACAAGATGAATTAAACAATGATCAGTCATTTTTACTTTAGGAAATTTACTATCCAAGAATGGAAAGGATTTTTTTAATCTTAAGTTTCCACATGCAATCAAAAGTCAAATTATGACTTGAAATAAAAAATAGTTGGAAATACACCCGACAGGGCACATGTTACATTAAAAGAGCTGACAGTCTAGAAAAAGGACTATGGGGAGGGCACAAAAAGAGGAGAAAAGGGAAAATAGAGGATGGAACTCTTTGAGTTGATTACCTAGTTGGTTATCTGTAAAGTAGAACTACAAAAGACAGCCTATTGTTGATAGCAAAAGGCAATACAACTTTTAAAAACAAGAGTTTTAACCATGTGGTGGGGGGAATGTCACAAATATTGACATGACTTTAATTGTGCCGGCTAATCATCATTAGAATACTAAAGATCTTCCAAAAGCTGTTTTTTTTAAAATGCTATTTCCACCAAATTTCATTTCTAAATTCTTTGAATAAATTGTGTGTTAACAAACATGCTATGCTAGAAAAGGGCCTTGCCGGGTTCCGTGTGCTGTGTAGCGCCCAGTCTCTTCATCTATGTCTTCCTTCATAAATGTTAGCTGCAAAGCAGTTGGGGTTAACTTCTATGGAAAAATGTGGAAACCAGTCCCATCTATTGTTATTCAGTCTTCAGCTGTGATGAGTAATCTTGACTGTGAAAAAACGTCAACAGGAACAGGGAGAGAGCATGTCCTGCATTCCAGCAAGAGATAGACTTTCTGGGGAGGCCTGTGGGTGAATGCTTAACTAGTACTAAAAGGAGGGAAAGCAGCCTGGCGGGGAAGTCTACATCTAAGCGGAATCAACAGCAGCACACAGAATCATAATGATCAGTGAAGCGTTGTCAATGCCAAAATGAATTCCTAATGAGAGGAAAAACCACCAACCTTCATTAACCTGCCTCAACAAGAAGCTGGCACAAAAGAGAAACAGATCCTTTTGTGGTTATAATAGTTGAGAATTGGCTCCAACTTTATGAGAAATAAAAAAGAAAGATGAAGAAGAACATTGTTAGCATAGTACTAGAATTGAAATGAATAGATGATGTAAAAACAAAACAAAATATTTTTTCTTTGATTCCCAGATAGATAATGTTAGGCTTGGAGGCAAGTTAATAACTTTCTCCAAATCATTTACTAAAACATGGGTGAATGGCAATCATTTGCCCTCTATTGTTTTTAAAGAAGCAGTCTCAGAAGTCAGCCCATGTATTACATGTTATTAAAAATATAAAGGGACACAGATTGTGCAAACCAGCAATCTTAGAGATGAGAAAACTGGAGTTTAAATACATGAATATTATTTACTAGAGGCCGGGTGCACAAAATTCATGTGTGTGTGGGGGCGGGGGAGGGTGTCCCCTAAGCCCAGCCTGCACCCTCTCCAATCCAGGACCCCTCAGGGGATGTCCAACTGCCGGTTTAGGCCCGATCCAGGCCTAAACCGGCAGTTGGACATCCCTCTCAATATCCTGGACCACTGGCTCCTAATCGCTC